ATCTACCAACATAAACTTTGTTTAATAATATTAATATAAAATATTTAAGCAATTGTTGTTTACCTTGTTTATTTCGGCATCATCAGTTTCATTTTTGCTTTTAAAAAAGGCTTCGTTTATTTGTTTACGCGCTGCATCCAAAGTTCTCTCGTCATTTCGAAATACAACTTGTCTCGTTCGATGTAATTTTTTAAAAATTTGTAGAACCTAAAAAAATATGTTTTATTTAATTGTTGCCTGCATTTAGTTTCACGAAAATCTTACGCGTTTTGGGTTTGCCATTCTAACAAAATATTGTTATTTAATTTTGAAATCAGCTGAGAATATAGGTTAGAAAGAAACTAACCAATAACTTCGAAAATAGTCTTATATTTTACAGTGTTGCATTCCTAAAAAAATTATTTCGAATTCAAATAAAAAACAAAATTACATTCCGTAAATGTAGTTCTAGTTCAAATTGATTTTTTAATTATAAAATTACAGTTCTGTGTTTGTTTTTAAATCAATCTGAACCTGGAAGCATATGTCAATTTACATATATTTTACATATATTTTATTTAAACAGGATTTATATATGACATTCAATTCATAACTTCTGGCCAACTCATACTGCACATTGTAGTTGAATTGTCCGACTTACATCATAACAATATCAAATAAAACTTACATTCTTATTCTACATATAAATACGACAACTAAAATTGCAATTAGATTGTTATTTTTACATAATCCAGCTTAAACTAAATTCGTAATTCTCAATAGTAGAATTGATTCAATAATTCTCTTAAACAAAAACAACAAAATATTGCTGCAGCACTCAGCATTTTAATTTACAAAAGTCTTAATAAAAATATACACAAAATATTTTGCGCAAATTGTCACAATAAAAAAACTTCTACTACTCACCACGAAATGATGTGGTTCACCATTCAATTCTTACCCAAATTTCTTACAAATCATATTTTTTCTTGATTCTTCTTCTTGAGTTACTGCTATTAGGCACTTTTACTCTATAAATGCTGGGGGTATTTGGATGACTTATTCCACGTGCTTGATTTTTAAAAGGAAAATGCTATAAGCGATATTTGTATTTAAAAACGCAATTCCTGCATGCGGTATTTAGAAAGAATAGTGCGATTTGCAGAAATAGAATAAACTCTATTTTTTTAATTGTAAGTAAATCTGCAACTATATAAAAAAGTTGTAAAAAAAAATTTTTTTTATATATACAGATCTGACAACCTCAAACTAAACTTTAGTACAGCAAAAGTGTACTGAAGTGTTCCAATTTGAAAGATGAATAGGTATTGACGATCTGTCATGTTCTTTCGCGATATAATAATATATTTCTAAGGCCATATTATATATATATAAATGTATTATTTTATTATTATTATTAATATTTTATGGTTCAATCATTACTATCTATTTATTTGTTTTTGTTATATTGTAATTACGCTATACAATCTTTTATGATTTGCTATTTTTATTGTCAGAAAATAATGACAAGACATACAAGATTTGAAATACTACAAGATAATCAATATATCATATACTAACGAAATTTTATAAAAATTACTAGATCGAGATTCAGGGATTGATGCGTCGTAAACCACACAACGGCTAGTTAAAATTTTAAGTTAAAATAACATTTCGTTACTTAAAGCAATTAAAAAGATTTTAATCTATATAAACTTCTTTCTCGTCACGTTATATTTGCATACATAACTGTAGGTCAAGAAGGAAATGTGGCTTACATGACGATATTACCGGTCTAACCGAAGTAGTATTTCAAAATAAAAAAAGAGTACACTGAGTACCACCCCCTTCCCCTCTAATTATAATAGATCGATTGTGTGGTATGGCCATGAGCAATCAGTCTTGTGCAGCATTGATTTTTTAAGTCTATTGAATGATATACATATAATATAGAATTTTATTGAATATGAGCTTTCCATTTATATAGTCTTTTGTGCTCGTGAATCTGACCAACTCCTGCTTTGCCTTCCAACTACACTCATGTACATGACAGTCGCAATATGTTTTAACGACGGAATAACAGCACATCTCCCACAACTTTTTATGGTTTACCACTTTTAAAAACTTCTTCAAAATAGATCAAAATATTCCAGAAATTAATCGGCATACTATCCAAAAGACATTAACATGTCTTGCCACTTGGAAAAACTTAATTCATGCTGGGTATAGATGTGATGTTAAAATAGTTTTTTTTACATTTTAAAGAAAGTATATTTTGTCAAATAGTAGGTAAAATATAGTTTTGCGGTTATAACGTTAAAAGTTTTAAGTCTAAAGATTTTTATAAATTGTCAGGAAGTAATTCTGATATACACTGGGACAATTGATTGGCATCTGCGCCATGAAATTGTTTTACTGCCTCCTTGTCTTTAATGAAGGTAAATGTCGGAAAGCAAGTCACATTATATTCCGAGGCTATATCCTGGTGTTGCTCAGCGTCGACCTATGAAAAACTTTTTTCTATTAGTACCTTTAAACTTGTAAGATTATGAGCACTTTACATTAATTACAATCAGATTATTTGAATTCTCCTGAGCCAGTTGTTTAATTTCAGGTGCAATCTTGTGACATGGAGCACACCACGAAGTCATGAAGTTGACTAGTACCAACTTTTCACCAGCATTCTTGATTTGACTTAGAAAATCAGTCTTAAAAAGAAGTATTTATAATAAATTTATTTTGTAATAATACATTACCATAAAATTCTTATACAATAAAACAGTTATTTGTTAAATATTGAATAAAAAAAAAATAAGACAAAAAGGTAAAAATTATATATATAAATATAAGAATAGGACACTTTGCTTACTTACATAACCGTTTATATCACTCATCTTTACTTATTAGTCTATATTTTTTACAATAAGAAAAAATTTTAATTGCATTTAATTTTTTAAAGTCAATTTTGATTTTGAATAGTTAACTTTGATTTCTATATTCTAATCATAAATCTTGATCTTCTTGATTCTTGATTGTTCTTCTTGAGTTAGTGCTATTACGCACTTTTACTCTATAATGGCTGGAGGGCTTATCTCTACCCCACACTAGGCTTTAACTAGGCTAAGAAATCATATCATTTATTTGTCTTTTAATTGATGACGGACTTTAAATCAGCATATCTTCCTGAGAGTCCAGAAGTGGACTTGAGGATTGTTAGGGCGGGGTTAAGTAGCGTATCAACTTTAGTAAATAATTTTAGAGCTCTGTCTTTCATATATTTTTTCACTGAGTCAATCCTAAGATCTCTATGTATGTCTGTTGATCTAATATACCATGGAATGTTAAACAGTCTTCTTAAAGCCACCTTTTGAGCTATCTAATCATAAATGTTTTTTTCATAATGCTTTTGTCAGTTTTGTTCTGAAAAGCCCTTCTTCAACATATCTGCCGATATAGTACACAAGAGTTTCCCATGATAATATAATATTGTTCTTTAACTATAACATATAACTTAAAAGTAAAGTACAATTTTACTAAGATTTTTTGCTTCCAAGAACGGCCGGGTCTACGTTCCGGAGCCACTCGTCAAAGACGACGAAGTGCCGTTCGACCACCCCCAAAGGGACTTCACAAGCAGGTCCCGGCGGGTTACAACAACAACAACAACTGAGATTTTTTTTTATATGTAACTCTACATCATGATAAACAAATCTTATGAAGAAAGTATGGGGGTGGGTCACATTCTACGCAAACCTTTCAGCGAAATCGCATATGTCAGTTTAAAATGAAGTCTACAAGAAAGAAGAAATCGCATTCGACGAAAAACTATATGGAGATTGACAATTAACAGAGAATCGAGCGAATCTTTCAGTGAACTAAGAGCTATAGCGCGTGATAGAAATACTTGGAATTTTTATTTTTGAACATGTCAATAATAATAATAATATATCTTAAACTCTTAAACATCTTAAAAATATTTACTCACTTAGTTGACCATTACAGACGTGAGTCATTCTTGACCGCAATCGAGTAGTCTCCGCCAGTGACCCCGATCAGTTGGTTGCTGTTGCCAATTGGTAGTACCGATTGCACCCAAATCATTGGTCACCTGGTCCTTCCATCGCAGATGCGGACGTCCTCTACCGAGTTTTCTATCTGCGGGTACCGAATCACTCGAATTTTTTTTCTTTATTTGACGTATATACCAACCTACTAAGTCAAACCTAGTAAAACAATGAACAAATAAAGGTTGGTCTGCGTTTGCAACAATAACAAAATTAAGAACGCTCGGAATATTCAACTTCAAACCAGAATTAAAATAAATAAATTATGTGTTTCCTTTTTCGGACACTACTTCAAGTAACTAAACAGTTCTATAAATATATACCCACAAGATATATTTAGATTTTGATGGTCAGAGGTTATCTGAAAAGTTAGGCTTTGGCATATAACTTAAAAGATTGACCTTATAAAAAATGAATATACACTGTATTAATTTATATAAAAGACAACAAAACACTGTTTTTGTTTATGTTTAATGAACACCACAAGAATACATGATAAAGAAGAGACCATGCTGCAGAGCTGCTATCATTTTCGATTTTAACACTGAAAACCCATTTTAACAAAACTGATTTGATTATTTCGCTTTACTTATGTACAGCAAAACACGTACTCATACATACTTTTCAGACTTGCGAGGATTCTAAAAATTCTGCAGAGCCAACCGATCGGTGTGCTAATATTTGCAATGTTGTAATCGTTGTTGTTGCAGTAACCCGTGGATATCTATATGGCAAATAACAATAAAGGAATTACAAATACAAGGGTTAGGATATGTTTGGGTAAAGGAAGCGTGAAAAAGAAGACGATTGTTTGGAAACTAGAGGATTAATTGAAATCAACCTGAGTGAAGGCGGAGAAACCTAGCCACTTCCTTGGGACGTAGCTATTGGTGTGTGCATTAGGACCTGAACAGAGATGAGTGATATTATACTTATGCGTGACAAGCAACTATTTAGCACACGGCTACATCTTGAACCCAATTGAATTATAACAGTTCTTGCTACATGGCGAAGACGTCGCTTTTTCCGGAAGATTTGGTTTTCCATGGTTTCATAGAGAAAACTACATCTGTATGGAGAGCTTAGTCGGCGTTTGTTTCCAATTTTGTGAACTTGATGGATTATACAAAATTGGATTTGTAAAAGGTGCCTAAGGAAAAGATGAAAAGACAGTGTGCAGTAGGATTTAGAAGAAATGAACATTAGAAAGCGAAAAATAAAAGCAAAAAACAGTGAAGAATGGAAGAATGTTGTTAAACAAGCTTAGGTCTTACATAGACTGTATAGTCACGGATGATAATGATGAATTGATAAATGCTTATCAAGGTGCAATGTTATGTACACTTCACAATAGCTCCTAATGAATTTATCTTGAAGTGATTACTTATTTTCTCACACTTTCATTATTTATAATATATAACAAAAATATTACACAAAAATAAAATAAATTTGGGGCCAACTTAAGCACTAAAAAGTGAGTTTATTATGATATATTATTATTACATTTTCTTCATATATTACAGTTGTCTGCTGAATAAAATATCTTCCTCTGATCTGAACTATAAGTTAGTAGAACTATAAGAGTGATCTATTTCGAATAACTACGTGTAGTGTGTGATCCCAATAATACAACGGAATACTCAACTAAGATAAGCTTAGATAGATAGACCTATTGGCCCCTAGAATTACCAAATAGATAATTCTTGATTCTTAACTAAACAATGAAAAAATAACTGATATTTGCCACTTTTTATAATTTTACTGCAATTTAATAATTATGCCGCTTAGTAATAAATATTAATGCTGTTACAAAACATATATGACCCAATTTATTTGATATAAAAAAAAAAACGTTTATATGTATTTTAAAGAAAATTCTGAATTTATTGCAATTTCAAAGCATCTACATAACAAAATTTATGAAAATGTGCTAACAATTACAGTTAAGAGATAAAAAATAAATTTTTTTAAGTATATTTTCGTTGGTGTTTCTCCTAATAATGCAAAAAATTCAAACTTTCTGTTTTTTATGGAATTTAAATAATTACGTTAACATATTTACTTAACACATCTTAAAGGAAAAAATTGTCTATTTAACTTTTGTGTAATAACATTTTATGCCAATCTCTCTATGTAAGATGCCAATTTTTCAGCATTTGCACCAGCAAATTGCTCCTTAACTTGTTTGTTCTTGATGAAAAGGAAGGTTGGCATGCTGGAAACATTGTACTCCATAGCAATTTCTTCGCATTCATCGACATCAACCTAAAAATAAAAATTATTTAATATCATTTTAGTAAAAATATTACTTTTATACACTAGATATAAATTAAATATATGTATATATTATATTTTTCTGCTGTGATGAGACAGAGTCTATGGAACATCTGATCACCAACTATGATGCACTAGGCCGCAGAAGAAATAAAATTTTAGATGCATACCAACTAGAGGATGAAGACTTTCGAAAACTCCCTCCGAAGGAGCTGGTTCGATTCCTCGAGATACTGAATGTTTAAATACAAACGGGTCCACAATAGATCAAGCTGGTCACGGTGCATAGGGGCCTTAACCTAACTTCAAAGCCCTCAATACCATTGATCATATTATTCTAAAAACTGCAGACAATATGATCTACATTCTACCTAAATAAAATACGAAGCTTCGACTATGTTCAAAGTGAGTACAGATCTACTCTGAGGTACTCAGAGGTCTTCTTAGACAACCAAGTGACACCTGCGCCTTGCAACTTAATTGCAAGAACAAAAGCAACAATGTTTAAGAAATTATATGTTATCATGGAAAACAAAAACTATACCTCTCAAGAAACGGTAAACAATACCATATCTCTATTTACTTACAAAAGGGAGGTTTTAGTAAATGTATTTGCTAATAAAAAAATATATTATATTCAGAATTGAAATAAATTTTTTTTTAAAAACTTCAATCTTTTTATTCGGAAAAAAATACTTCTGCTATAGGTTTTACTCACCTTTTGTATAATGAGGTATTATAAAGTAATAGATTAAACTCTTTAAAATATAAAAGCCAAATATTGTGTATTTACTAGAAAAAAAATTGAACTAATTATATCAGGTAAAGGTTAGTTTTAGAAGTAAAATAAAAATATGAAGATATATATATATATGAATCTTAACCAAATTTGAAGTATGTTTTCATAGTCCTGAAATGACAAACTAATAAAAAATAAAAAGGTAGAAGAAGTTAGAATTTGATTTATTGACAAACATATTCTAAAAATTGGTCAACCTCAATGTGACAGATGAAATATTGTATTAAAAATAAATAAAAGTTTGGAATATAATATTTTATCAAATTGCTGCTGTTTCAAATGATTATTTTTAAATAATTAAATAACAATTATTTAATTATTATTAATATATGTATGATTAATTAATTTTATATAATCTTTCCATTCGTTGAATCATAAAACCTTGTGCAAATTCATCACTTAATTTTAAACGATAATCTAAATCCGGCTAGCATAAAGAAGTATTTGTTAAATACATCATCTATGACTCAGTGAAAGAGATTTCTTTATGAGGAAATAATCTATGTACATGAAATGTAAGTTTTTCTCATTGTAATTCTTAGAAATCTTAAATTATGTGGTATCAACAATATTAAAATATAAGTAATTTGTTAGTATTTTATTATAATGATGACATAATACATAATATATATTGTTTTGTGACGTACCTTAATAACCACAACCTTTTCCGAATGTTCCTTGGCCAATTCTTCCAATTTAGGTGAAATCATTTTACATGGGCCACACCAGACGGCGAAGAAATCGACAACAACCAATTTGTCGCCAGCATCTTCAAGTTGTTGATCGAAATCAGTCTAAAATATATAAAAGAAAATTAATGTTATTATCTTTAAAATAATAAAGTTTTATTAATATTTATATAGAGAAATTTATATATGTATGATATACAGTGTTGTGCATAACAAAAGCAACCAAAATTTGCCCATAAAATAAATAAGTTTTTTGTCTACTTTTTACTTTTCACTCAAAAACTTGAATACACAGTTTTATTTGTTATTGTATTAGCTATTATAAAAAAACAATAAAATCTACAATTCTTCATAACGGGTTAAATAATTCACAAAAATAATGAGATATTGCGAAATGCGGCTGTGCAGAACAATAGCAACTTTATTTATTATATTAAATTTTTGTATTATTTTTCTAAATTTTGTATAAAGCCTTTTGCTTTTTATTACTTGGGCACTTCTACGGGTCATAGGTGATATTAAATTGTTAATAAAACTATTTGGAATTTTATACCATTCATCTTTCATGACCTCAAACATTTGGAAACTTTTCGACCCCCAAAGCGAAGTTTGAGAATACCAAAATGTTCTCAATTGAATTAAAATCAGGTGTTTGGGCTGGCTAATCTAAAATTGGAATTCTATTTTTCAAAATCCATTCTCTTATCAGCTTTAAGGTGTGTTTTGGATCGTTATCGTACTGATATACCCGTCGGAGTGATATTTCTCAACCGCCATGGGGTACCATATGGTTTTCTAAAATTTTTTTGTACACATGTTGGGCTATTATTTGATGAATTTCATGAAAAGGTCCAAGTCTAAATCCTGAGAAGCACGCCCAAATCATTACTGATCCATCCCCATGCTTCACCGTCGCATGCCAGTTACGCGGATACAAACTTTTTTTTTTTTCGCGACGTACTGTGCACATCCTATCACATTTAGAGATATTAATTTTCGATTTATTGCTGAGAAAAACTGTTTTCCATTTAACAAGTATTCAATTTTAGTGATATCGTTCAAAATTAATATTAATATTATTTCATATTAATATTAATTAGAGCAAAACAAAAAATCTAGTTCTTTTGCAAATGCTATTTAGTTAACCTTGGTTTTTTGACTGGTCTGTAACTTTTGAAACCTGCTTCAAGAGTACGCCTGCGTACAATATTTGAGTCCACATATAGTTTAAGCTCATCTACGATCTTTTTCGACGAAATGAATGCTTTTTTTTTTGTAATTCATATGATGTTTCGATCAATTCTATGAGTAGTCTTACAAGGGGCTTCACCCAAATTAACCGTTTTAACGGTATTTTGTCAAATCACATTTTTTTATAAGCTGCGAAACAATAAACTAATTAATTTTAAATATTTTGGCTATTTCATTTGAGCACTGCCATTTAAATATCTTTCAATTCTTGCTTCTTTAAACTTCAAAGTATACGTGTCACGAGCCATGATAAAAACGTACTTCCATTACTTGATTTAATATTGAACTATTCTGTGTTTATGTTCTAATTTGCTTAAAAACATTAATTACAGCATAAAAATGCAAAAAATCAAAAAAATATTTTGCTAGAATGCACTTTGGTCATAGATCTATCATTGATCTTGTCTCAGTTGCTATAGTTTTGCACAGCCGCATTTCGCAATATTTTATTATTTGTGTGAATTAATTAACCCGTTATGAAGAATTGTAGATTTTGTTGTTTTTTTATAATAGCTAATATAATAACAAATAAAACTGTGTATTTAGATTTTTAAATGAAAAGTAAAAAGTAGACAAAAAACTTATTTATTTGATGAGCAAATTTTGGTTGCTTTTGTTATGCACAACACTGTATATGTCGACTTATTAAAATTTTTAAAACATTGAAAGTAAAGCTGAAATAGAATATAGTTTAATATCTACAACATAGAGAGGTTCGAAGAACGGCCGGATCTACGTCCCGGGGGCATTCGCGGCCACCGACGATCAAGTGCCGTTCAACACCTCCCAAAGGGACTTCACAAGAAGGTCCCAGCGGGTTATTACAACAACAGAATTGAATATGAAAAAACGAATTATGCTGTACTGATACTGACACATTAAGGAAAAATAATTGAGTGCCCTTTTATTAAACAAAGAATTAATTAAGTTTAGTATACGTTTTGAATGTACTACTGATACCAATTACTTTGGACTGTGCATGCAAACCAATGTATAAAAGAAAACTAAACTTAGTCTTATTATTAGACTAAGTAAAACAGTCTTCCAGAAATAATTTTGATGTGAATCAAAAATAAAAGTAACATTTGGAATTGCACGTTGGTTATTGTCATGAGTTGTTATATATGAATGGCTATTCTTAAGATCGGCTATAGTCGAGAGGAACACCCTTGGTGAATTGTTCTGGACCAAAGATTAAACATAATTGGTTGCTGAATTATAAATTGAGTAAGCTTGCTTAATATTTTTTCTGTGACTTAGTTGGACACTATTGCTTCGTTATAATTGCAGTATAATAATATTATTTCATTTGAGATATTTTAATTATTTTTGAATTTTGAAGTTAAGCTTTGGAAACACATCTCGCTCACAGCATAATAACAACAGTTAGTATAATAGTTAGAAAATAATATTTAGTATTTTTTAGTTCTTGCTATTATTAACTACAACATTGGATATAGAGGTTTATATAATATTAAAATGTTCTATGTTATATCTCAGTAAATTATATCAGATTTCGTGACTGAAATCTTAAGATAGTATTCAAATAAAAAAAAAAACAAAAATTGAAACAAGTATAGAATTTCTCTAAAGTAAATGAAGAATAAGAGCTTGTTTTGTTATTGAGAATAAATTTGCTAAAATTAATTACTAAATCAAGAATCTCTTTATTAATCAGTTGGCAATATGTGAAAGCAAATAATTAAAAAGTAGAATTCTATTAAGCGTGAATACAATAATTCTTATTAATTTTATAATATATACTAAAATA